ATAGCATCATTTGCTGAGCATAGGAAGGAAGATGGAAAAAGGAAGAGATTTGAGGAACTGTTAAGAATTTTGGAAATGAGAATTAATGACAGGCCCACAGGGGAAGAGTATCTGATAAAAGAAAAAAAAAAAAAGCAAGCATTTTTAAGGAGCACCTGTTGGCATAATTAAGTGGAGGTGTATTGATTGATCAAGCGCCAGCAAGGCTTAGTAGCTAGACTATAATATAACTCAATGTAATTCTAATGAAATAAAGGAAAGAGATATAAGAAAGGGTCAAAGTGCTGGACTACTAGGTTATGAAATTGATAAGAAAGAAAAAAATCTCACCAACACTAAAAATGGAAGAGGACTGTCAAGTAGAAGACAGATGTTAGAGACAGAAATCTGAAATTCTGACATTCTTGTCTTCAAAAAAATAACTCCTCCACTAGCCAGCAACATAACCTGAAATTTTACTCTATTATGCTTATTTTGGGGAGACCTGCTAAAATAAAAATTCAAGTATGAAATATACCACAGTAATTTCCCCTGGGCTGTAAGAAAGAAAAATGTAATTAACATATGACAAATATCCAGTCAGTCTCTTATTATAGTAAATGACTAGGGCATTTTACCAGTATGTATTCTAAGCAAAACAGGGAAAGCAAATACAATTTAGAAGAAATATAATTTTCTAAATATAATACTTTGTGACAAAATACACAAATAAATCTTGGTCATTAGGAATAAATAGTAAGCGTTCACAAAAATGATGCTGATTTGCATTTATTTAAGCAATTAAATTATTTTAGTTTGCCGTCATCAAAAATCTATTGACGTAGCCTATCAAGTTGTCTGTGATGATGGCCTCATCTACCAGAGCCCTCATACATTTGCATAGGTGCAAGCTCGCACACACTTTCAAGTTTTAAGTGACAACGTATATGTTCCTATCTATAAGAGTTAGCTTCTGATATTCTATCATTTCTTCTGCCTCTTCGCTGCTTCCCTCAGGGATCTAAGGCTAAGACTTTGGAGTTCTTATGGTTAAAAAAAATGAATAAGGAAGAATTATAAAACCAGCTAAGTGGGCTCAGATAAGAACAGGATTCAGAAATCAGAACTACAATGAGAAGATTATTCACCAAATTCTCTTCTTAGTCAGGAAAGCTCATCTTCAGCCATTTTCTTCTAAACCTGCTCATTTTTTTTTTGCCATGTTAGAATTTTTATTTACTTATTATTATTATTTATGGTTGGGGGATTCATTAAAAGTACAAAGAACCAGGTTACATCATTTGTATTTGTTAGGTAAAGTCCCTCTTATAATTGTGTCCTGTCCCCAAGGGCTGTGTCACATACCTTGACCCCCACCCCCCCTCTGCTCCCCCATTGTCCCACCCCCCCCATGTATTAGCATCAGTTGTCCTCATATTAGAATCAAGTACATTGAATTCTTGCTTCTCCATTCTTGTGATACTTTACTAAGAAGAATGTGTTTCTACTTCATCCAAGTTAATACAAAAGATGTAAAGTCTCCGTCTTTTTAATGGCTGAATAGTATTCCATGGTACTATGGACTATACCACTGATTATCAATCCATTCCTGGATTGGTGGGAATTTAGGTTACTTCCACAATTTGGGAATTATAAATTGAGCATCAATAAACAGTCTAGTGCAAATGTCCTTATGATAGAACTATTTTTTCTTCTGGGTAGATGCCCAGCAATGGGATTGATTACAGGATCAAATGGCAGGTCTAGATTGAGTTCTCTGAGGGTTCTCCATACTTCCTTCTAAAAAGGCTGTGTTATTTTGCAGTCCCACCAGCAGTGTAAAAGTGTTCCCTTCTCTCCACATCCGGGCCAGCATCTGTGGCTTTGAGATTTTGTGATGTGGGCCATTCTCAGTGGGGTTAGGTGATATCTCAGGGGGGCATTTGTTCTGGTAAATCAGTCTTTACTTTTCAAACTTTGCTTCATCCACCCTCATAAAGAAAATTTTACAAGGAAGCTGGCCAAATCCAGAATGAGTGGGCACGGCATCCTCCTACGCAGTTAGACACGGTTCTTTTTCTCCATACTTACTCCTATACAAGCTTTAATGCAGGGGTCCTCAAGCTTTTTAAACAGGAGGCCAGTCCACTGTCCCTCAGACTGTTGGAGGGCCAGACTGCAGGCCCGGGATGAGTTGGCTGATAAGCAGGACAAGCAGTGGTGGCAAAAACACCCAGCAGGCCAGATAAATGTCCTTGGCCATTTGAGGACGCTTGCTTTAATGTCTAAAACACTGCTAGACTCCAGGCTCTGTGAGGGTAGCATTCATACCTAACTGCTTCATTGCTGTGCTCCCAGGACCCAGCATAGCACCCAAAAGGAAGTTTTTTAGTACGTATATAACAAATGACAGACAATAAACGGTCACTGACTACATTGTTGGAATCCCCTGAGATTCTCGCCATGTAAGACAGATCTAAGAAGGAAAGCCTTTTACTGAATCCCTCTCTTCATCCAAAAGAAACTCTTTTAAACTTTTTGATTGTTTCTACTTCCAATTTCATTATTATCCCATGATAGTTGTCATTATAACCATTGTTATAATGCCCATTATACTTCTATATAAGCTCAATGAAAACAAAAGTGCCATTTATCATATTCTGTAAGTATAAGTAAAGCAACAATGCATAATGAAATGAATGTATTTCTACACAATGAAGTAATTTGAGGTTAAAATGTAATCTGAATTAAGTTAGACTTAATTGCCATGCCATCATATAAACTATTTTGCAATCTTGAATAAATGGTGTGTGTCATACAATGAGTTATTTTTTAATTTCTCCTTGATATCATTGGGGAAGGAAGAAGCTTTCATTTGCAACTCAAATGATTTCTAGTTGGTAAACTGGAAGAAAGAAGCAATCTTTCAAAAATGGTTTAATTTAAAATCAGTAAGCAACAAGTGTGAAATCTTTATTAACTTTACTTTTGATGTGTCACATATTTTCACAGGCCTCTCTGGGAAGAAAAAGGAAATAGTGAGATTTGATACCAATCATAGACAACAGGCCTTTATTTTGAGAGAGGGTCTTGTCAAGGCTGTGACAATTATTATCAGATTGTTTAAAATGATTTCTATACCCTACCTATTCAGACATAAAAATGGTTGAAGGAAACACTATTCATCACTGGTTACCTTAAGTTCATTTGTACAATAATCATAGCAGGGTTTCTGAAAAATATTCTGAACTGGAAAACTAATGAAGTTAGTTTCAAGAGAAGTTAGCTTCTCTTGATAAAACTTGCTACTCTCACACATTTCACCTGAAAATGTTTAGGTGTAATTCACAGCAATAACTAGAGGGGAGACGGCTAACAGTTTTTGAGGTCTTCCTCCTGCCTGGTGGTGTTGAAGGAAGTTTGTTGAAACTATTTGTCCTACAATCATGCTTTAAGTTGGATGGGTTTTTTGTTTGTTTGTTTGTTTGTTTGTTTGTTTCATTTTTTATTATTTCCTTTCTTTTCTTTTTTTAATTAAATCATAGCAGTGTACATTAATACTGTAATGGGGTACAGTGTACTGTTTCTATATACAATTTGAAATACTTTCATCCAACTGGTTAACAGAGCCTTCATGTCTTTTTCTTAGTTATTGTGTTAAGACATTTGTATTCTACATTTAGAGAGATTCACACGTACCCTTATAGGATGAACCATAGGCGTGATCCCACCAATCTTTTTCAAATGAGGAAACAAAAATTTAAAGAGTTCAAGAATATTCAAGAGGATGCTAAAAATATGTTAAACCTTAAATTTGTACATCTGCCTCCAAAATACTAATAAAAGAGAATTTTGGCTGTAGGACCTCCTGGTTAGTTTCCCATGAGATTGTTCTAAGCACAGACTATGTCCTTCCAGAGTGCACCTCACTGAATTCTCTAGCCCACCTGCTGTCAAGTAAAGCTGAGGAGCCAGGTCCACCCATCTTCCCAAGAAACCCAAGTAATTTCTTTAGTTAGCCCATCCTCATGTCACAGTTGAAAACCAAGGCAACAAGTGTCTGTGTGGAATCCTACAACCAAATATATGTAGTTTACAGTGTTCATAGGATACATTCAACCCAAGGAAATATAGACATCTAAGTCTTGTCATGTTTCAAGGAAAATTACGTCAGAATTTCTGATTTACCTCGCTGTGATATTCTATACTGAACAGAAATCTCCAGGAGAAATCGTATAGACTCTACCTACCTACTAGGGAAGGTGGGTAGAGAGGACCACTGGCTGGTGATAGTGAGCAGAGGAAGAGGGGAAATGGGTGGACATCAGATGTCAAAAGTGGGAGAGAAAAGGAGATCTGAGACGTAAGAATTTAAACACAGGAGCCAGAAGCTGAATGAAATTCCAAAATCCAGGGACATCTAAGTGTGTGGCTCCCCATTCCCACAATGGGCAGCAGGCTACATACACTCACACTCTTTTTGAAAAAAATCAACGGGGTTGTGTCTTTGCCTCAGGTGAATGGTTGAATTGGTATGGTAAAGAACAGCTCGCTATATCTAAGAACAAGGCCCTTAGCCTGAAGTTAAAAGATCTTGGAAAGATTTGAATTACAGCCCAGTAAGTGCAGCCCTCCCTTGTCCTCATCATCCCGCCAAGCTTAACTGCTTGGCAACGGGTAGCGAATGAATGGGATTCTAAGGGCGGGATGTAGGGAAGGAGCGCAATCGTAGCCGCGAAAAGAGCGTCACAAGCTTGAGCTCCGGGAGACTATAAAGCGCGCCCGCAGCGCAGGAGGCTCAGTTCTCCAGCCAGTGCCCGGAAGCTGGTGCAGACGCCGAAATGGGACCTGAGTCCCCGCCTTCTGGGGGCAGACCTTTAATTTCTCTCCCGCAGACCACCTAATTCTTCCTGCGGCTAGAGCTGCAGGCTCCTGGGGAAAAGTGAGGCTCTTTCTCCCGTTCACCTGCTGACTCAAAGGATCTCTTAACTGGCACCGGCTGCAGGACATTTTCTCCCCTCCTGGCACCAAAGTGACCCAGAGGCAGAGAAGAACTTCGGGGCAATCCTTGGCTCCTGCTGCCAGCGAGCGAGTGGAGGGGTCCGGGGGCTGCACATCTTTGACGATGGCCTCTCTGGCAGCAGCCAAGGACTGGACCGACGGCGGTGGAGCGATGGGCGCGGACGCCCAGAACCTGAGCGCGGCGCTAGCTGCGGGGGCCGCCCCGGGGACCCTGGAGGCGGAGTGGCTGCAACTGCTGGTCCAAGCCGGCAACCTCTCCTCCTCCCCCTCGGCGCTGGGACTGCCTGCGGTTTCCCCCGCACCCTCCCAGCCCCGAGCCAACCTCACCAACCAATTTGTGCAGCCGTCCTGGCGCATCGCGCTCTGGTCCCTGGCATACGGAGTGGTGGTGGCCGTGGCCGTTTTCGGAAATCTTATCGTCATCTGGATCATTCTAGCTCACAAGCGCATGAGGACTGTCACCAACTACTTCCTCGTAAACCTGGCTTTCTCTGACGCCTCCATGGCCGCCTTCAACACGTTGGTCAACTTCATCTACGCTCTGCATAGCGAGTGGTACTTTGGGGCCAACTACTGCCGCTTCCAGAACTTCTTTCCTATAACGGCTGTGTTCGCCAGCATTTACTCTATGACGGCCATTGCGGTGGACAGGTGAGAAGACGGGGAGGAAAGAGAGGGGAGAGAAAGGAGCTGGGCAGTGGGATAAGATTACAAAGGAGATGGGGGCATGACGGGATCTATAAACGTGCAGGCACTAAGGAAGAGTTCTTGGAGAAAGAGACCACTAACCCATTTAGAGCCCGCCTGTGGCCGAGCCAGTTTCTGCTTCCAGGGTCTCTCTCCTCCCCAAATCCCAAGGCCCTGAGCTCTATTAAGGCCGTCTAGCGGGACTGGAGAAGGTGGATCAGTAGATGCGAAACAGAGTCGTTCCAAGTAAGACAAACTTAACTAGAAGACAATACTAGCAAACTTTCTCCAATGACTTCAAACAATTGCACACAATGTACATTCTTTGTAAAATGTGCTTTGGGGCCTGTTTTCTTTCTGTCAGTTACTAGTCTGACAGAGAAATGGACATTGAGTCACCCTCCACCCTTTTCTCCTACTCTGATGTTCTGGTCCTCATTTCTACCCCTCCCTATTCCCTCAGCTGGCCCCAAGGCCAGCAGTCCTTTGGCCTCCCAATACCAGAGGATCTATCAGAGGCAGCGAGGTCCCTCCAAGGTCTGCTGTCAGCTAGCAGTTTCTACCATGCCTCAGATTAGATTTAATTTCCAGTAACCTGTGGGGGGGTCTGTGTGAAACCTGTGCCTGGATCTGCTGTGACCAAATCTGTCACACAAAGGCAACATTAAGCCTAAGGAATTAATGGTTTAAAATGAGTCACACTGCTTTATAGCTGTTGAAGATAATTTTGTCGGAATGGTCCCCCATCTGCAGTTGAGATTCTGAGATGCTTAAACAATTAATAGGAGCTAAATGAACCTCAAACATTTCTTCCCATATTTAAGTTATTAAAAATCCTGTGTGCACTTGCTTTCTCATATTGAACATTATGAAATAGAAATACTCAGGGAAAGACAATAGTAAATCCCTACATGTTATTAAAAGCTGGTTAAACTTATGTTCAGTATTGTGGTAAAAATGAACGATAACATTTGAGTCAGGTCTCAGATTTGTGATGGGCAGCCACATAGGGGCTGGATAGAGGTCATGTTACTTTAAGTCTCAATGTTCTCATTTATGGAAAGAAAAAAGAACTTTAAAAAAATGACAAACCTATTTTAATAAAATGTCTAAATATTATTCTTAACACATTATGCAAGTTCCTTCCATAAGTCCATGCTCAGTGGTTACTATTTTGAGATAATGAGCACTTAAATATTAAAAACATAAGTGTATAGGAATATTTTCATATGCCAGGTCCAGAGGATTAGATGGAAGGACCAGTGACTAGTAGCCACCAATCCTCATTTTAAATAAATATAAAATCACACTTAGTAAAAGCTCTGAAGTTGTCAATTTTCCTTTCTCCTTTGTCTCTGCTTTTCCACACATATTCACCTCTTATTTCTGCTAGGGATAAAAGTGATGCAAAGAATGAAAATCAGACCCAGGTAGGAGAACAAGTGGAACTGCCATTAATCTTTCTCCACCAAGCTAGAAATGAATGTCCTTTAAAGGACAATCTTCCTTTTTTGTTTTGGTTTCTTTCTTTTTTATTTATTCTAAGTATGTTGATTTTTAATGTTATGATTAGTGGGAGAGATATTGGCATGTAATGCTATAAGATGCTTCCAATATTCTTGAAATGTTAATAATTTGAAATATAAATGAAAACTTTGGTGCATGGGAAACTAGTATTTCACTTCTGAAGAAAAAAATGTTTATTTTTCCCCCAAACTCTTCCTACTAGCATTTCTGGAATGGTCTCTTGAAGCTATTGTAACTGATCATGTAGTACTATTTTATTAAACCACTGGTTTGAATTAATAGTCTACTACTGAATATTTTCTATTTATTAGAAAACATTCACTTACGAAAAGTATGCCAAATTATAGTGCATACAATTTACTACAAAATCTTAAGGACACTCAGTCAAATACTGAAAATCCTTTTAGAATTTATATAAAAGAATATTCTTACGGGAGCCAATAGTTGATAAAAGAAATCCAGGAATAGAAAAAACCCTTTTAAGATAATTTTTAGAATCAAATACTATAGACTATACAAATATAATGGCAAACTCTCAATAGTTTATCAACCCATAGAATGTTTCTGCATTGGTGTCTGCATTTGGTGTCTTATCAAATATGAACCTGAAAAAATGACCCTGTGGCATTTGCAATCATTTTATAGGTTAAAGTTTGCAAAGTTAACCCTTCTGAGGTTGATATCTGAGTCACAGTGCCATTGGTTATGTTTGCATAGACCATAACTGAGAATATAGTTAGTAGTATATGCTCAAAGAAATTATATTTTCTTATACAATTAATGCTTTATTGAAATAACTGTGAAAGTTAAATAATCAATAATTGTTTATCATTGATAAAGGAATAAATCATTTATACAGCATTGTGAACACTTCAATTATTTAATTTTGAGCGGTTTCCATCTCCATTTAACATAAATTAAACTGCATTATCCTAGCCTAAATGGAAACTATATTCAATTCATTCTGTCTCTCTGGCTAAAATCAAAAGATTCCTTGAACGCAAAAACAATTTCAGCTTTGACTCAGGTGCATATGGTTTTCTTTCAGCTACAGTAAAATGCTTGCAACCTCTTATTACCCTTAAACTTTCAGACCTAAAAAAGCATATAGATGTTTCCTTAATGAACACCTATATTACAAATGGAGAACTTTAAGCCGAATGGTTACACATTTAATGTAGTATGAGTCTTCCTTTAAATGTTCTGAAGTTATGCTCCCTTTCTGCTCTGGGAAAATTGCTTGCTTTCTGTTTTCACCTTCTAAATAATACTAATAACTCTACTGCAGTTCTGAAGTCACAGGTTCTGGTCTTATTCTGAAGCTTGTTACCTTCTGCTTTGTTACAAATTTCTTACAGAACTACATTTGTACTGGCTAATAAATCATCTATCAGTTCCATATATTTTCTTCTTGCTGGGAGGGCTACTTCACCACCACCCCATCTCCTACACACAGGCAGAATTATTTGCCAATGAAGATTTATTATTTGTCCCCACCAACCTTCCCCAATTTGCTATTTTGAAATGTAACATTTAGATACAACATTCATTTAAAAGATGTTAAGCTTTTCCAAGATCTTGCAGTAGAATCAAGATTCAAACCACTGCAGTTTGCTTCAGGGCCCATGCTACTCTTACCCTCTAAACTAATATGCCTCCTAACAAGTTCTGAAATGGCAGGGTTTGATTAGACAAAGTCATTACCTTTAAGCAAGTTAGTATTTGGCACTTGTTTATACTGTATAGCCTACATGTATAGGGTGACTAGATTTTAACATTGGTAAAGCAGGACAACATGTGGGGGGCAGAAGACGGGGCAGGGCAGGGCCTGACAACAATGCAAACTTTGATAAGCAGTTCTCAATAATCACTTCTCAACAATTATATGTTATTATTACAGTTTAACATTATAAAATTAACAAAAATAATATAAAACTCATATCGCAATATAAAACTCATGTCGCAAAATAGCCACATGGCAGCCAAAAACCATATATTCCCTTCCTGTTCTCCCGCCCATTCATGCATTCTTTCCAAAAATCGGGACTTTTTTAAAATGCCAAGGGTCCTGGGACAAATTGTTAAAAAGCAGGACGTCTGGTCACCCTATACATGTACATATAACACATCTTACATATATAATGTATTAACTATGTTTTTATTGAAAATGTAGAAGGTAGAAAATTATTATTAAAATAGTTAATAATAATATAAACATTGTGATTACTATTCATTGTTGGCATATGCCACTTGTCCTATGGAATATTAGAAAATAGTTGAATATCTTCTAAACATTTTCTGAGCACATGTTTTGAACTTAAGTCAAAAACTGTAGGAAGTTTTACTCACATGTAGTAAAAATAAAAATTTCAGGTCACCTACTCCAGTTCAGTATTAAAATGATTATTTAATTAAATAATTTTAAAAGTTGCATTTACTTTTTCCTTCTTATAAATCTTAATGGAATAGTTAACTATGTTTTAGTTAATAGTACAAAAGCATTAAGATCAACAAAAAATGTACTTTACATTTTTTAAACCCAAGGACATACCTGACATGAATAATTTTGAAAAAGAATACTTAACCAAACTAAATAATGATAATAGCTAAGTAGATTAAAATTGATATTATATGCAGTTCTAGTTTTTTAATTCTTTAGCAAAGAATTCTATTTCATTCTTTTTCATAAAGTTAATTTATGTAAAGTATTCATAAAATCTCTATGGAAGACTTTTAAAATTTATTATGAACAGATAAAAATATACAATCATGAAAAACAGTGTGGCTTCAATCTGATAGCAGATTATTTAAATGTATTATGGTAAGTTATCATGGATAAAAATATTGTAGATAAAAATGCTTTGGTAAATTTTTTAAAAATCCTTTATGAGCTGTCAGGGTCCTGCCCTGAGGGCAGGGTCCTCTAAGACCTGTGGAAGTGACAGGTACTGGCTGAAGAAATATAAAGTTAGAAATGATGAGAAAGAAAGAGACAAGAGACAAAGAATAGAATTTTCAAAGGTGGGAACTTGGGAGACTACCACCCGTTTGTGGGGTTCTGGATATGGCCCCAAGTATCTGTTCCACTCAGATTTTATTTGCCCAGAGGGTAAGCTGAGGGAGGGAACAAAGATACCAGCAGTTTCTCTGAGTGAGCATATCAGGTCTCTTTGTTTTTATAATCATTAACTTTAAGGGTCTCAACACCCTTGAGAAATCCAGAACCTGAGCCTTGTGTGGGGGCAGCCTCCTGTCTGAGGTCACACACACAGATTCCTAGGGAGTGGTTAAACTCCAATAGTTTCCTGAGAAGTAAAATGCCATGGGTGTCAATCTCCTCTGAAGAATAGGTGGGAGAGAGGAATTCTCCTCTCATCACCACCACAGAGGGTCTTCCTCTGCAATATGGGATATAAACTGTTCTGCCCAAATTTCGG